AAACTGTGTTCGTTGTTGATAGGTAAAACTGTGTTGATTGTTGGTAGGTAAAATATAGAAGGAGAGGGAGAGGAAGGGAGACATGGACAGGGACTTGGACAGGGACATAGAGAGGGAGAGGGAGAGGGAGAGGGAGAGGGAGAGGGAGAGGGAGAGGGAAAGGGAGATGGAGAGGGACACGGGGAGGGGAACGAGGAGAGGGAGAGGAGGAGGGGGAGGGGGAGGGGTTGAGGGTGGGGGAGAGGAGGAGGGGTATACAATAGCATGTGGCATATACGTATAGGTTATATACTATACTATAGTATCTATTGGATAGTATAGGGCATACACTAACACACAAAGCAACCATTGCGACTAACATCCAAAAGGGGTACACTATGTTGAAAGGTGACTAGATATATAAAGCTAAATATTCATGTGCTTTGAGAGGAAACATATAAACATGCACGAAATACAAAATGAGAAGAGTGAAACATTTCTGAAGTGAATTTACATACTATACTATTGTATGCAAGTACTAGTATAGAAAATATAACATCTTACCTCACAAATCACCTACAAAATTACATTCCGTTTACAAAAGAACAATCAAGCATAGGGTCTATCAGGTATGAAACTGTGTTCGTTGTTAATAGGTAAAACTGTGTTGATTGTTGGTAGGTAAAATATAGAGGGAGAGGGAGGGATACATGAACAGGGACATAGAGAGGGAGAGGGAGAGGGACATCGGGAGAGGGAGGGGGAGGGAAACAGGGAGAGGGGGAGGGGTTGAGGGAGGGGGAGAGTGGGAGAGGGGGAGGGGAGCGGGAGAGGGAGTGGGAGAATGAGAGGAATCGGTATACGGTTACTATACTATTAATTTTTCTCATATAGTATAGGCTTATACTTCATCTTCTTCATTTGTGCCCTGCCCCACCGTAAACTACTTCAATTAGTTCTCCATCAAAAATTGGATTGTGGTCAGATATAATGTATTACAATTACAGTTTAAACTATTTTTTTCATGGTTGAAGAATATAATTCAGATTTCCGCTTCCTTCCATCACCGAAGTTTTGACGCCTCCTCAATCTCTCTTGTCTTTTTCCAGTTTGTAACCCAATATAATGTATTACAACAACAGTTTAGAAAATGAAAGCTACAATTTGTTTCCACGCGCACGCTGAAGATAAAATGGGGAATAAAGAGAAAAAAATCAATCATATCATAACTAAAGCCTTGCTATGGTTATTTTCTTTTTTTTTTGGTTTCTAATGGTTACTGGGCCTAATTCCCCAATAATCTTCTAGTCTATAAGAAAAAGAAAAAAAAAACTAGGCATGGTATGCCATCAAGATCGACCTCAATTATTAGGTGAAGATCTATGTGACAAGATAACGGATCCCACAAGAAAAGAATTGTGCTATTTTCAAAAAGTAAAACGTTAACAGTATGTATTTGATTATTTATAAAAGCATACTCCTCTTTTTGGTTATCTTTTCGAAACATTTTCCTTTTATAGATCTTGCCAAGATTTGTCAATAAAATATACACATCTAATTGTGTTATTATAAAAGTATTTCGTTGAGAATTTTTTTAAAAAAGAAAAAAATAAATCTGAATTTATTACAAATACAGATCTAATTTCTTGATAGAGATATAATCCACATATAAACCCTCTTTTAGACATTTAAATAGACTGAAAACAATAGTAGATATCCGTTCGTTTCTTCAAACGCCACTGGACTACGATTATTAGTTCACTCTTTCGTTGAGAATTTCTTTTTTTGCTAACCGAATATTCTGGTCTCACCGTGGTGGTCCCAGACTAAAGACCGAAGTGAGCATGGACCCGAAAATCACTAGGTGGTTCACTATGTAACAGTTTTTGATCTCGAATGCTGCAGTTCATATGTAAATTCCGCAGTGGCTAAGGCTCGAATCCGAGGCACTCGAGCTGGAATTCGTTTACCACTAGACCAAACCAACTTGGTTTTTCGTTGACAATTTGTAACTAGTTTCTTATAATTCCAACTTCTGTAATACAACATTTGATGATTGATGATAAAAATGATGTTAATTGATGTCTGAACTTTACCGATTCTTTTCACCAGAGTTGCATTACACCAACGACAAAGAGATCAAATAAGAAAACTGCTAAAAAGGAGAAGAAGGCAGCAGCATACGAGCCACTACGGCAATCTATTAAGTATTTGTTCTTTTGGTTTTACTGGGCTGTCGTTCAAAAAAAAAAAGGTTTTACTGGGCCTAACGTGATTTCTTGGCCCGAACGTATAGGTAATATTCTCGAACACTGACGATTGTGACTTGCTTTTTTGCATCTTTTTGAATGAGTTTTACATTTCGATCCGAATTTTCTTCAATTTGTCAACCACAAACCACCTTCGACCATAAGTATATTTAATACTCTAAGTTCTGATAAGGAATTACATAAATTTTAATACACTACATCAAGCAAAACTTTTACATACATCCATTTTTAAATACTCATCGTTAGTTGTCATTACTTGTGACGGAAGCTATCCGAATATAGAAAACCTATCACCGTTCTCCGCCAATGCCTTGTGATAGTTCTTCAACCAACTCCTCAAAAATCTCAAACTCGATATCCAAAGCAGCCTCTGCGATTTCTACGTCGTTATTTGATCTCCATGACCCCAAACTCTCTGTTCTGAAATCATGTTCGACCATCATATCGATAGTGTTAGACTCCACATCTCTCCAAGATCTCAATCTCTCGCATACCCTTTTAGCTACTTGAGCTTCACCGTCTTGCGAAAAGCTTTCCTTATGTAATTCCTCGTCCACAAGGTCTGAGATCAATGCTTCTATGCCTTCGGGAACTTCTCTCATGTCTTCAAAGTAGGTTTTAACAACTCTCTGAGTTATAATCTCACACTGATAATGATTTTTCATCTCTTCATCTTCCTCGGTCTCTTGGTCTGACATTATTTTTTCGAGTTCCAAGGGATCCAAACCCGCGAGTTGCTCAAATCTACAAAGCTTCTGTAGAAGCAGATGCTTTGCTTCTGTAAATAAAATTCAGGCACTAAAAACATCAGTCTAAATGGACTATCGTATAGAAAATCAAGGGTTATAATATTTTTATTCGTACAAAATGCTAACTTAACCTACAATTTGTTTGCAAAATATGAGTAAATATATACACAAATATTAATTTTCCTATATATAACAAGAAACTTACCTATTTAACAATATGGAAATATATATATACACAAAGTTAATTTTCCAAAATTTAAAAGAAAAGGTCACAAGAATTTTTTAACCAAAAATGTCAGTGAGACACTCTAAACAAACACTATACGTGCGCTAACATGTAAAGGTAACTGAAACATACAGTATTACTATTAACAAATACTATTCGTACACTGTAAATATTCAGTGCAACAAACACTATTCGTTCACGAACATGTAACTGTTGTGTTTTGAAAACATAACTTCAGTACAAGATATCCAAACAGTTTTAGAAGCCATGTAATAAGAAACAATAAATGAGTAGGGTAGACTATAAGATACGAAAAGATCGAATTAAATGAAAAAAGAAACATGAAAATTTAAGACAAAAGAGTGGTTAGAGAAAAACGTACTTTGTACAGATCTGAAGCTTGAAGTGATGTTATTGTCATCCATGTGAATGTCTTCGTCATCGTCCTGAAACGGAGGGTCCAAAACTGAAACTGGACTGCTTTGTTCCTTATCTTCTTCCTCCTCTACCATTTCTAGTTTCTTTACATTCTCTACTTCATTTCTTTCTTTCTCCATCTGCTTAATTTATAATCAAATCAGATTAGAAGATGCTAACATGACTGATGATCTAAGATGAGTGTTTGGAGACAAGGACATGAGAGAGAGATTTGCATGTCAGAGACAAAGATCGTCTTTGTTTTCAACATCACAAAAGGCTGAGTTGATTTTCGAAAAGACGAAACTTGCTTTTGGCTTCAACTGTTGTTACATCTTCGAAAAGACCAAACTCATGAGTTCTCGGGGTAGTTTTGTCATTTATCATAATTATTCTTACTTTAGGCTAATTCAAATAGGTCATAACCTAGTCAAACTTGTCATTAACTAAACCTTTATAAGCTTTATTTTTTTTATTTCAAGTTCAAATAAAAACACATTTCCATTAATGATTAGTAAATTGTTAATGAATGTACATCAATTATTATTAGTCTTTTCTCTAACCAACGAATATGATCAATAATGTAATCAGTTATTTAATAATGAAAGAGACAAACCTCTTGACAATCGTGGCGTGGAGAAGCCGCAGGCGACGAGAAATTCGGCGTTCTGAAACCGCTGGGGGAAGGCATTGTCTGTAGAACAAAATGAAACGGGCTTTCACAAAAGCGTTTATCCCCTGAGAAATCTGCACCGTTCATTAACCCACTCTCAAACTCATCTAAACCGTCCGATCCGCTGCTGTAGCTAATAGACGTTTCGAAATCGCAGTCACCGTTGGTTACACTCTCTGACCAAACACAACTACTGCTTGACCTCCGTGAGAACTGCGACTCAGACGCGTGGTTCTGCGTTTCTTCTTCTTTGCGTTTAGACTTTCTTGTGACTATTTTACGAACAACAGGAGATTCCCATCTCAACATATCTTTCACCGAAGAAACTCGTTCACCGTCATTACAACCGCTGATCTCGCGTTTCTTACGGTGCGTTAGCTTCTTCAACACCGAACCAAATATTCCAAACGCGTTTCCTGCGTTACGTGTTCTTGTTTTTGTCCCCTCGGACGTTGAATGTTTCTGTATCCTAACCGCAGCTTCTAGCAGAATAGACGCGGTTCTAGCCGGTATGTTGACGAAAACTGCGTTTTGGCTCGACTTGGGTTCGAAGAGTGGAGACTTCTTGGGGTCAGGCGATTCACGTAGGGAGAAGAAACAAGCGTTGCGACAGAAACGCGAAGGAAGTCCAGTGTTTTGAGAGATGGCTCTGCGTTTCTTGACCTGTAGATGCGTTACTGGAGCATTGATTTGGCAACGTCGGTCGGAGATGTAACTCTGAAGTTGAAACGGTTCTTGATCTTCTTCAAGAAGATCCTTTAAGAAGTGTCTTTGAGACGCCATTTTATCAAAATTCCGACAACAAGTACAACAGAGTAAGAAGAGAAAGACTTTACTTTACGTGAGTTTATTCAAATGTTTCAAGTCTTTCAGTTTGTAATAACTAAAGAAAAAGTTTTGCTTTCTTTCTTTTGTTTTTGAACTCTGCTAGAGATATAGAGAGAGAGATGGTGATGGTGATTCAAAAAATGTGGATGGTTAAGAAAAGATCGAGGCAAAGGGCCAAGTAAATACTCCTACTAGTTTGTAGGTAGGAGCTAGGATGAAACAAAACATAAATTATAATATTAATAAACGAAGCACCAACAAAAATAAATATATTTAAAATAAGGTAAGGCAACTTCAATGTTATACTAGCCATGAACACATAAATATTTTTTAATTGGAATTGGTCCCCTTTGTATTTAATTGCTATTTGTAATTTATTATTTCCATGTCCGTAATTTATTTCAGTTCTAGTCATTGTTTATTTATATTTTTGATGAATGATTTCTTTTGTTTCATCTCTCTGTGTTTTATGTATAAATAGAAACAAAACAAAAAAAAATCTAGGGAGCGTTTGTTTCGATAATAGCATGGAATAGTTGTTTTCGTTTTTCACATTTACGTGAAACTCTTCTTTTTCCTCCAAAGGCAAAAGCGTTGACGATCACAAAGAGGAAAGAGACACAAAATATATTAAAAAAAAATTAGGGTTAAGTTGTTAACTAAAAGAGCTCGTGAAAAAATTGAATACAAACGACAAAAGATAAAAACACGCATGCCCAATTTATTAGAGGAACTGAATATTGACTGCATCTGCTTCTTTGACGACCCTTTCCTTCTCACCTTCATGTTAAAATACTCTACTCTCTCTCTCTCTCTCTCTCAAACTTCACACGAATAAAATAAATTTACACTGAATCGTGTTTTTTTAGAAGACTCTATACGCTGATAAGTTAAGTCCAAAAAAAAAAGGTTAAGATTCGATGCGTTAAACATGTTTAAGCAATTTCTCTAACTTATATGAAGTATTACAACAAGGAAGATGTGTGAATTACGTGGACGGTATCTTAATATCTGGACTAAATATAATTTGATTTTTCTTTGCACTACAAATTTATGTAACTATCAATTTGAGGTTACATACCAAATTTAAGCAAAAAAAAAAAGTTGACGTTACATATAAATCACAGAATTGTAAATGGACAACTAAATTAATATGTTTTTCTAAAAAAAATAATGTGTTGACAGACTCTTTGTGTAACTTGTTGATTATTAAAAAAAAACTACATATATACACAACAAACACATGAAATTTTCTGCAAGGGGAATTCAAATTTACAATTCGAAATGCAAGTGAAATAAAAAGGGTATACAATGCTCCTCGTGCATAGAGATTTGCCAGTAAGAAGGACGCGGTACGACATTTCAGTCATCTGATTGGTTACTACATAAACACATCAACTTTAATTTAAAAATAGATAACCTTTTGTAGCTTTTGTTTTTTCAAAAACGAAGTAATTATGATTGTGTTTCTGAGACTGGTAAATTTAATAAAGTTGATCACAGTTATTTCCTTATATAGTTCCCAGATGTATATGTTAGGTCAGAGCAAGGCGTGCCTTCCTTTCTTTTCCTTCAATCACTTTCTGCTTCCAGTGGTGGGGTGAGCTTCTCTGATAAAGTCGAATTTCTCCAACCTAAAGTTTTATAGGTTACAAGAAAAAACTAGTATAAACTGCATGGATCAATGTTTTTGTTGCATATGCAACAACGAACCGTTGAGTTAATTATTAAGTTAAAAGTTATTTATAGGAATAAGATTTTACTGTATGGAGCCATTGCGTGTGCGTAAAATGGTCCAGCTTTTCATAATGGTCTTTAAGATTCGCATAAATAAACATAAAACTGTGGTTAATAGACACGTTTGACTACCCAAGAAAATCCGAGATAAGCCAACTCCCACTGCATAGAAAATGAGAGTATATCTACAAGTTGAGAGAATCCTAGGCAGGAAATCAGATGTGCCATAAATTTTAGAGAAAAGAACCCAATCACATTGTATAGTAACTAGTTGAAGATTTGTCTCTGGCTCTGTAATAGAGTTGAATTACTGTTATCAATGTATTTTAACTTGTGCTAATTAATATCATTCTTGCTTAGTTTGTAACACATTCGAGTTTCAAATAAATATCACTTTAAATACAATATATCGATTAATCAGAATATCTGAGGTATATAAGTAACTTGTACAGTAACAAATAAATTCAATATTTATTTTCTTACTGAAAATCAAGCATATATATTCCAGAATAAATCCGTTGACAAGTGAATTAATAATTACCATTTCCCCATACGTGATGTTTTCTTTTGTAAACTGTATATGAACGAATTAGTGTTGTTCAAACAAAAAAAGTATATGAACGAATTAGTCATTTATTTTATATTTTTTAAAGAGAATTTAATTTAAGAAAAATACAGAAAAGAGATGTAAACAATGTGGCTTATAGTTAATTCATTACACTTAAGATACAATGATTAAAAACATATTGTGGATAATGATGGAAACTAATTATATTGTTCTCAAAAGAAATTCCGAATGTTTCATAGCCACCCTAAAAGTTAGTTTTGTAATTCTTTTTCTTAACCACTCCAAATTATTATTTTTAGATAAAAGACTATTCCAAAGTAACATTCATAAAGATCACAAAATGGTTTCACTTTACACGTGTTTAGTATTTTATTTTGTGCTAAATTATACTATTATTAGTTTTAAATGCGTATTATGTAGAGTTTGGATTGAAGTATAAGTTGTAAACATTACAACGGAACATAACTCCCGTCTTAAAATATCAAATATATAAATATAGAGTCTTTAGTTTTTTACGTAAACTAACTTGATACAGAAATTATTTTGATATATGTCTGTAGACTCAGTGACTCACCACAAATACGAGTATATATTTATAACATGAATACTAATTTGACTTCGAACATATGTTATCTACTAACCATAAGATCTCTATTAAGATCAAGATTAAAAATGATACAAATACTTTCATCTTTTGTATCAGTGGGCGGGATTAGAAATGGTCAAATTGTATCGTTGCGAATATGCATGCATGGAACAAGTGCATTACAAATGATATTTACCAATACGGGACTTTTTTTTTTTTTGTAAATGGCATTGCTAATACGAGACTTAGTTATTTTGTGTCTTGGTGTCACCACATGAGTTCCGCCTCTTCGTGGATGGAGTTAGAAATTTGAGAATATCCATTGTGATCTGCACGAAAATAATACAATTTATTGATATTCAGAATGTGTAACAATGGCAATCTCGAGTAATCTAGCGAATGAACTGTAAGATAGGGTCCATGACAGTGAATTGGAGAGTTGATGAAATGTTAACGTCACATTCTTTCTGTGAACACAAACGAAAATGATTAAAAGGTTTTATACACCAGTAACTTTATTGGCGTGATGATCAACTTTTAGATTGGGTCACGATCATAACCTTTTCAATAATGTATAAATGATAATCAAACATGAAATGATTAGTGAGTATATGGGAACAACTATATAGTAATCCTGTATATACCAAAAATATACAGAATCATATGTTAAATTACGTTTACATAAGATATACAAAAACATTTCTAGCTTAAAAAAACAATCCTAATTATTGTGCTTAACTGGCATAGACAACGACACTTCTATAATTGGGGCACTTTAATAGAAAGTAAGTACGCAACTCTTATTAACATTTTTTTTTTTATTAACATATGTTACAGAAGACTCTTATTAACATATGTTACAGAAGACTCTTATTAACAAACTAGTCCCTCTGTGTCACTTTTAAACAGTGTATAATTTACACATAAATCGTTGAAAGCTATGTATATATTCCCACAGAGCTAAGAATCTGAAAAAGGTTTAAAATTTCCCAATAAAAAAGGTTAAAAGCAAAACATAATCGATCTTTACTCATTATTTTTAGTTTTTACTCGATCCTATTAATCAAGGGATTGGTATTCTTTCCCCAAGGGTCAAGGACTCAAGGGATTGGTGTATTTGGTAGTCAAGTCATATAGTAAAATCCGACAACACCCAAAGGACAATAATGGATATAGCTACTAGATCTTTGAAGTTGTCTTTTTTTTTTTTTTTTTTGACAACGATCTTTGAAGTTGTCTAAAGAACTAAATAGCTCGTTTCGATATTAATCATCTTTGTATTGTAAATGTTGGTGCTTCTAGTGGTTGGTGTGTTTGGTAGGTATTTTTTTCAATATTCTTCTTGTATTCACGTATCAAGACAAACTTAGAACATACTTAATTTTAAATTATTATTTTTGTGGGTGAAATCAAAATTTGTTCGTTTCTTACAGCTGTATTATCTAATTACCTTAATTTTTAAGGTAAAATTGCCTCTAGATGTAATATTTTCAATTTTTAACTTTTAGTTTGTTAATTTAAGTACAAGTTAGTCACATAAAAAGACTACTTATGAGACACGAGGAGACAATCATCGATTCATGAATATTAAGAAAATCAAAACGGGACCCATGTTTCTTTTGATTTCACCAATGGTTCTGAGCACCGCCACATAAGAGCATTTCTAATGCTGCTTCATTTTTCAAATTTGACTTCAGTTTTTCTTTATTTCTTCCAGTTATGAATAAGTAACCATTATTAATTCAAATTTGAAGAAATATTATTCAGTTTTTCATTTTGTAAAGATGAGTTTTCTATTTTTTCGATGAACCTTTAATTTCAACTTGTTCCTATTTTGTACTTCAATAAATTATAAGTATCGATAATATCTTAATTAGTTTCAAAGTTTATGTTATTGTTTTTATACATTTGAAAAATAAATAATGAAGTATAAGAATAATATTTTTTTAAGAGAGTTTTATGATTAATTTAGAAAAAAAAATCGTTTTAAAATATTTTGGTTAATCACTTGATATATATGTATTTATGTATTTATATTTTTTTTATGTTACGTGTAATATGATATCATCTGATAATAGTTTGCTTATACTAAATAATTATTGTGTCAGATTGTTATTAAAATAAAATAGTTGGAGAAAATTAGTAAATTTTAAAAATATAAAAATATTAGTTTTATTATAAAATGATGATAGAACATACTTAAAATATTGTTTTGGAAGAATAAATG